GGCCTCCTGAAAACAGAAATTTGTCTTTGCATACATATTTACCCAAATTATGCTTTATAATCCAAGAAATCAGCAGTTAAGTAAAAAGAATTAACAACATCAAAAAGAAGTTAATAGTTCTTTTCTTCTCCCAAGAGAAATGCCCTTGCAGGTTTGATTTAAGAATTAATAGGTGCCTTTAGGAAATACTTTCATTATAGACAAAGAATTTTGTGGGTGATAGTTCCATAATAGTTTAATAAATGTGGGTAAGTTTAGCTTAATTTTTGTGTGTATTAAAGATTTCTGAACACTTTAAGTATGCATAGGAAAAGGTTCAGAATCATAGGAGATAGATAGATATATATATGTGTGTATATATATATATGTGTGTATATATATATATATATATATATATACACACACACACCAATGACACAGTGTTTTCTCCCTAAAAACCCAAGTAATATTAAAGCTATGGGTTTAAAGATATTTATCCCATTTTTATCTCTTTTATAAAAATGTTTATATATTGTGCTTTAAAAATCACTTTACAATTTTAAATAATGCCTTTTATTGAAGTATTTTATTTTTCCAGAGTAGATGTACTTTTTCCCTGTTCCTCCCTCTAAGTAAGACTTTAAAATCCTAGGTGTTGTACATAAAACAAAGAAAACTCTGAAAGGTGAAGAGATGAAGGCAGAGCAGCTAGGAACCTCGTGGACTGAAGATCAACACAAACATGAGCTCCCTGGGTTTTCTTTTTGCCTCATTTCGCCCAGATTTGTAGATAAAAAGTTAGCAACCCATAGACAGCAGTGGAGCAGACAATAAAAACCCCAGCTAAAGTCTGATCTCTCCAGCCACTGGACCCAGAAAGAGACAGCCTAGCAAAAGAGAAAGCTTTCAGACAATAACAATTTGACTGATTTGACTACAGCCAAACACCATAGGAAAACACACACACACACACACACACACACACACACGCCCCACCCCAATGCCTATCTGCAAAGGCCAAGAGGGAATTCTAGACAGAGCAGAAAAGCTGCAAAATATATGGAGCCAAACTGATCGAACTAAAAGGAGAAAAAGACAAATCCAAAATTATAATTGGAGATCTCAACATCCTTCACCAACAATCAGTAGAACTAGACAGAAAATCAACAAGGGTCTATAAGAACTGAACAGTGTCATCAACTAAGATAATCTAACCACATTTATAAAACACCCCATCCAACAGCAGGAAAATATACAGAACCTAGAAATAATTCCAAACAGCATGACCAGCTGATTTTTGACAAAAGTGCAAAAGCAATACAATGGGAGAAGGACAGTGTCTTCAATAAACGGTGCTAGCGCAGCTGCATATCCATGGGAAAAATAAATGAACCTCAGTCTAAACCTGGCACCATATACAAGATTAAATCAAGATAGATCATAAGTTTAAATGTCAAATATAAAACTATAAATCTTTTAGAAGGAAACATAGGAGAAAATCTTCAGAACCTGGGGCTTGGTGAAGAGTTCTTAGACATAGCAGAAGCACAATCTCTAAGAAAAAAAAATGCTAAGTTGGACTTCATTAAAATGAAAAACATTTACTCTTTCAAAAGACTTTTAAGAAGATGAAAAGACAAGCTCAGGCTGGGAGAAAATATTTACAAACTACTTATCTGATAAGGGTCTCATATCTAGAAATTATAAAGAACTCTCAAAAATTCAACAGTAAAAAAGCAAAGAATCCAATTAGAACATGAATAAAAGACATGAAGAGACATTTCACTGAAGAAGATATATGAATGGCAAATAGGAACATGAAAAAATGTTCAACCTCACTAGCCTAAGGGAAATGTAAATTAGGATCACAATGAAGTATCACTGCACACCTAGTAAAACAGCTAAAATGAAAAATAATGACAATATCAAATGCTGGCAAGGATGTATAGAAACTGGATCTCTCATACACTGCTGGTGGGAATGCAAAATAGTGCAGTCACTTTGGAAAACATTTTGGCAGTTTCTTTTAAAATAGAACTTAATGCTTACGTATCCTAGCAGGCCCACTCTGATTCCAGAGAAATGAGTACTCATGTCCATATAAAAACTAGTACATGATTGCTCATAGCAGCTTATTTGGAACACCGAAAGCTGGAAATAACCAAAACGTCCTATAAGTAATGGCGAAAGAAACAAACTGTGTTATATCTATACTGTGAAATATGACACAGTAATAAAAAAGGAACGTACTGCTATACACAAAAGCCAGAATGGCTTCCCAGGGCTTCTGCTGAGTGATAAAAGATCATTTCAGAAAGTCAAATGCTATACGATTCCATTTGTGTAACAGTCTTGAAATGACAAAATTATAAAACTGGAGACCAGGTGAATGGTGCCAGGGTTATTGACAGTGGGCTGGGGGTGGTGCGTATGACTAAGAGGGAAATATTTTGTGGTGAAGTAATAGCACCTTGCTTGCTATAGTGGTTGCATGAATCTATGCACATGTTAAAGTGACCCATAACTCCACACGTACTTTATACCAAGGCCGATGTCCTGGGTTTAATGTTGTACTTTAGTAACCTAAGATGTAACCATGGGGGAAACTGGGTGATACACAGGACCTCTCTGTACCATTTTTACAACTCCCTGTGAATCTATAATTATTTCAAAATAAAAGTTTAGAAAAAGGAAAATACGGAAACTTTGTAATGCGTTCTTTAAAAAAAATACATTCTCTAAATTTTTTCAAGGATTTTATGATGTCAAACTTCTCAAATTAATAGCTTTTCTCTTTCCAACAGTTGACTAAACCAAATCATTTATATATTGGAAGCTTACTGTTTATTTTTAAATAATGCTATAAATTTTATACTTGCCATGTCTTAATATACCAATTGCTAATGGGTATCAAAGGATCAAGGACACTAAAATCATGACTTAATCAGAAAACTCATTGAACACATTAGTTGCAACCCCATTACTGACCTCAAGAACAGACGCTTTTGCTGGAGCTGCCAACAAGCAAACAAAATGTGGCTGATTTTCTACTTTTCTCTATTTAAAAAGGAATTAATGAATATAAATTTGTCCCAATCTGATATCTTAGCTTTCATAACACATACTTTGGAAACTCTATGCCTGAATACTTGGGCCATTGATTATTTCTGGAACATAAGTTAAGCCCTTCAATTTCATCTTATGGAGACCTGAAAGTTACAATAAGAAGGTTTCCAGATTACTTTAAGTTTTTTTAAATTTCAAGTTATCTCCTTTGATAAATCTTGTTTCTTAAAAATACTTGTTTATTAAACTAGACTCTACCATTCTTTAATTGCTAATAGCAGGCCATCCAAATATGTCTCCTCCCGCCCTGCTTTCATAATTTATGAAAAAAGATACAATGCATGTGGAAATGTTTTAAAGGAGCCTATAGGAATGCCTAATGGTATGCTTTTTTTTTTCTTTTTTAAGTGAATGGGGTAAAGTCATAAGGAGAAAATCTCTTCTGAAAGGTATAAATACAGATCCACAGTCCCTTATCTGCAGTTCTGAAATCCTCAAAATATTCTGCAAAGTAAAGGTTTTAAATAATTCAATTGGCAAGACTGGCACTCTCTGATAGTTTCTGTGTAATCCACGAGTGTTAATATTCCCAACTTTACTGCGGAAATGTAAGTGTGCTGTGCTCGGGATGTGGGCCGTGGGGCACCATGCAGTATATGGTGTGTGGACTACGATCCTTTTTGAAAATCTGAAAATTCCTGACTTATGAGACATGTCTAGTCCCAAGAGTTTGGAATGAGAGATTATGGGCCTGTCCTAGAAGAGTCCAGGACAGGTGTTTATATAGCACTGAGAATAGGAACTTACTTATGTGGCAGATGAATCCAAGAGTATAGATATTTCGTGACATTAAATTTGGGAGGAGAGTCAGATAAGCACCAGGCTGACCTTTATTTCACCACTAAGCAAAGTGGGGCATTGAGCAAGGTGCCCAAGTTGACCCAGTTACAGCTGGAACCATGGCAGTTTGGCTTTAGAAGTCATGCTTTTAAACCGCAAAGATTCTGTTACTGAAGACCTATCCTGAAAGCCTCCTCTGTCACAGCAGAATGAGACTGAGTCTCCCAGCTGAAAGCATGAGGATTGTGTGAAAGTTCATACCCTCATGGACAGAACCTCAGACTCCAGAAAACTGGCAATCCAGTTCATATTCCCCAAGTGTGAAACTGGAGGATCCTTTTAAGGAGTAAAATGAACAGCTCCAAAGGGAAAAAAAAAAAAAAGAACAGGAAAAACACTGTGGGAGTTGACCTCAATTAATCCTCTTCTGTGGAGTTCACCTGTCCAATTTTGGCTTTGCACACTGAACTTCCAACCAGCTATTATTATATAGTATCTTTTTACACAGGAATAGCTTCAGGGATCACTAGACATGTAAGGAAAGTGTCAAACATGAAACAGATCAGAATAAACAATCAATAAACAGAGGAACAGAACAGAACATAGGTAATGCAAATAGTAGATAAAGTGTTAAATACATATATATATATATATCATGAAGACTGTCAGAGACTAATAGAAGAAATTGCATTCATAAAAAAAAGGTATCTATAAAAAAGTGGGTGCAATAGACAATAAGATAGAGAATCTGGAAGTTAAAAACATGATAGCTGAAATTTAAAAGTTCAGTACAACTTGGGAAGACAAGATCAATGACATTCCCCGGAAAGTAGTTCAAGAAAACAGAAATAAAAAAAATTAGAGAAGATATGCAGGAGGCTCAGAGGTTTATTTCAGGGTAGGCGTCAAGAAAGAGAAACAGAGAAAATGCTGGAAAGGAAATGACTAATTTACGGGACACGTTTCAAGAACTTAAAAACATGAGTCTTTTTAAACATTATCCTTAAGAACATTTGGAAGGGGGCATGTGTTATATAGCCATGCAGCTGTATTTGAAAGATTGAGGAATCCTTAAGAGCCTTTTCAATAAATATACTTCTGCTTTTCCCTTTTAGGGGCACAGCAATTGCTGGCATAGTATTTGGAATCGTATTCATCATGGGGGTCATTGCTGGAATTGCCATATGCATCTGCATGTGCATGAAAAACAACCGTGGGACTCGGGTGGGTGTCATCAGGACCACCCACATCAATGCCATCTCCTCCTACCCTGGTAAGCAAAACTGCTTTCTCTTACTCAAGGAAGGGTCATTTTTGTTAGTTATGTTCTGCTCCTGGGACAGAAGAAACATTAAAGACTCTCATGGGAATAACCTCCAAGGATGTAGGGCATTTCTGAATTAATGTAGACTGAAGCTCTAAGTTTCAGGGGAGGTTACTTAGATCCACATAATAAAACCTACCTACCATTTGAAGCTGTTCATATTTTCAGTGGTTGTCTTACTGACTACAATTGCCCATCAACCATAGTGAAGAGAAATAGACAATTTGCACCCACTGTGTCTGTCTGCCAGTGAGTTCTGACAAATGATTATAAGGTATAAGTTACATGTCTGAATAAACTGGCATCTGACTCAATAAGTATGTATGTCTTGAGAAAAAGTATTGAAGGAAATTTTGATGTGTCCTCTTTACACAAAGAAAACATTTTTAACATAATATTAAAATTACCAACAAAAAGCAAAGGTGATCTATGAAGAGTTCGATGAGTATTTGTTGAGAATCTCCTGGAATTTCCACATATAAATATATTGAAGACATATGACTTCATAACCAAAATGCTGTGTTTTGCCTTAGATGATTTCAATAGCATTTTCTAAGTCAATCTATATACATACAATTTGTCTTATAAAAAGGAGTCAAGTTCTACATTTAACACATCCTTAGGAAGATAATTTCCTATCCACACTCATGTGCTCTCTCTCAGTCCCTATAGAAAGGGAGATGGTGCTTTCTACATCCAGCCTGCCCTGTGTATCAATTTCCTAATAACTTCTTTCTTCTCTTAACTTTTCCCTATCATCTTTAGCTTGAGGGAGCAAATTTCAGAATTTCAGATGCACGTGACAATGATCATTTCCCCTCGTTTGTCAGCCCTCTCTCTTCTCCAATAGCTCCTTGTTAGAGTGTCTCAAGACTCACTCCTGTGTCTTCTTCTATCCTGTATCTACACTTACTTCTGTGGTTACAGCATTTAACCTCATGCTATTAAGTACCATTTATATGTTAAATGCCTCCCAAAGTTATATATCTCCACTTCAACCCTCTTTCCTGAATTTCAGATTCATCTGATCCCACTGCCTGTGATATCTCAGATTTAACATGTCTAAAGTTGTACTTCTGATCATCCCCCACCACAAGTCCTCCATTCACCCTTTACCGTCTCAACTGTTGGTGTCTCCAGCCTTCCAACAGCTCAGGCCAAAAACCTTGGCATCCTCCTGGACTTCTCTGTCTTTCCCTCACATCTACATGCAAGCTACTAGGAAAGCTTCTCAGCTCCATCTTCAGAATATATTCAGTATCTGATGACTTCGCACCATTCCTTCTCTGATGGGTGCCACCATCAGCTCTCACCTCCATTACTGGATCACATCCTAATGGCTCTCCCAGACTCCACTCCTGGCCCCCAGGGGTCTATTCTAAACACAGTAGCAGACAGAACCCATTTAAGATGATTCAGTGTCAAATCACGCCTCTGCTCAAAATCTTGCAGTGGCTCCCCATTTCCCCCAGAGGTAGAGTCAAAGACAGTGGTTTCTCATTTTATCCAAAGTATCAGACAAATCTTTTACCAAGGCCCACAAGGCAACGTATGAATTGGCTCCTGTTTTTATTTCTCTGGTCTCTTTTCCTTGCTCTCTTTCTTCCCACTCTGGCTCCAGTCACACTTTTTTCCTGGCTGTTTGGTGAACACACAGGGCACCCCCTCATCTTTGGGCTTTGCCTAGAACACCAAGTCCCTCACTTAATCCGAGTCTTTGTCTAAGGTCACCTCCTGGATGAGGCCTTCCCTGATCACCCCACTGAAGATTGTAACGTGGCCCTCCCCACAGCACCCCAGTCGCCCTTCCTCTCCTTTTCTTGCCCAGTGCTTCTCTTAATCTTCTAAGATACCATCCTAGTTCACCTAATTGTTACTTTTATATTAATCGTCCACCCCCTCTTTCTAGAACACTGGCTCCATAAAGCAAGGGTAGTTATCAATTTTGTTCACCTTTCAATCCCAAGCACACGAGACCAGAACTGGCTCATGATGGCCACTCAGCAGACGTGGCTGAGTGGATGCAGAACATCCTGAAAAAAACCTGATTTAGTTACATCAACACTTAGAAAATTTACATTAAATTCCACCCTGAAATCTGTCACTTTTACTCACTACAAAAGCAATTCACAGTTTTGATCTTCCCAACTTACTAAGGATATTGTTGTGAAGACTACGGTATAAGGAATGTGAAGACTATGTGAAAACTATGGTATAAGGAAAAAATAGGGGGAATTATTTTTTATTCTTCACATCTCCCCATTTCACCTGTTCAATCCATAACTCAAAAGAGGACAGTCCAACGGAGACATCAATCAGAGCGAAGACGTGAAGCACTCTGTAGAGAACATTCCAGACACATGTTTGCTCAATCAAAATGTGCGGTTAAAATCAAGTCTTAAAACATTTTAAAAATTTTTTATAAAATTAGACTAGAAAATACAAAATATTTTAATGTGATGTATTTTCTTGGATCTGAGGTTTCTATTTCATGCATGGAAATGTGTTTTTAAAAACTTTATTCTAGTGGCATTATTTATACTGGCTGATCCATTTTCAGTAAAAGTGTTGTTTTGGGAACTGAATAATGCAAAAAACATAATAAACCTTATGGTGGAGGCATTTTTTACTGCAAAAAGACTAGGACTTTGCAAACATAATTTGTTTGCTTACTTCTCATTTCCTTCTCAAAGTCACTAATTGAGCTGTTACTTAAAGGATCAGGAAACAACACAGAGTGATGCTGAATGCTTTTCAAAATCATTTGTCTATGGACATAGAAAGTGGTTTTACTCACATTAATTAATTAACCCTGTGATAACTGAATAACCACTCAAGTTATTATATAATCCTACAGCCTGGCATCCACATAAATGAGTAGAACATAATTTAGTCCAGGTTATCGTATCCCTTGGTGAAAGCTCTCTGTGGGGAGCCCTACAGTGAACTTTATTACTCTGCACTGGGAGGAGGTTACCAAGTAAACGTTCTCTGCCACGCCCAACCCTTTGTTGGACAGTGACCTTTCAAAATAGTTTTGTATTCCTGGCATGTTGGGCAGCATGAACCATGTTCTGCTTAATTACAACTATATTTAGAACCCTCAGGCTGAAAACAGGAATTATTTGTCAAGTCTTATATTTCCACCATTTTCCAGAACTTCAGTATAAACAAAAGAAAGTAATTATGTTAACCCTCTTTTAAAAAAATCGTTTTGGATGATACACAGATGAAAGAAAATACTACAAAATAACACAGAAAGAGCATAAGAAAAGGCTTGGCAAAGAGATAAAAATCAAATGGCAACAAAAGGAAAACAAGGGATTTCAATACTATCAAGAAAATTGAGATTTGAAGTACATTATTGAGTCCCTAATGGTAAGTAGGTAGGTAATAGATAGATAGATAGATAGATAGATAGATAGATAGATAGATAGATAGATAGATAGATAATAGCTAGATAGATAGATAATCAATGAAGAAAGAGGGGAGTTTCTTGCTAAAAGAAAAATGCCAAAAGTTGTATGTAGAAAGAAGTTGTGGAGCTGGAAAAAGCATCATTTTAAAACCATCATAAAAAAAGTTTAGGACAAGAATCATCAATCAATGGTAAATCAGGGGGGAAAGTTTGCTAAGGAACTTTTAAAGTGTGCACCTCTAGATTCCTTGTTAGTTACAAGAGGAAAAAGAGTGATTACACAGTGGAGAAATAGACAACATCTTGATGAGGAAGTAAAAATGAATTAACAGCAAAGAGGGAAGATGGACGTCTTGCACCTTCGGGTGTTCCTTTGACGATGACACAACTTCGTTTGTGTAGTGATCTGGCCGGAAGTTTGTAGCCTGAATCTTAGCCTGAGAAAATATCTGACAAACCTAAGTCAAGGAACATCCAAAATAACTGGCTTGTAGTCTTTAAAGTTTCTTCGAAATATTCCACTAAGAAATCAAAACTCCATTTGCATCACCGACTTCACAAATGAGGGCAACCTTATTAGTACGTGTCCTGAACTCATGACCCAGCAGAGGACTTAGTGAAGTGAGGATGGTCTCTTCCGACTGTACCTATTTTCTTAGTGAAATAAGAAGCAAGTCTTATGCTGAAAGTGGCTTGAGAAGGTGTTTGTAGTTAGGAGAAAGAAAAAAGTATGAAACAGTAATCTCAGAGAAGGGAGGGGTGGTGAAATGCCCAGTGCATCATTTCCAAACAATGTCAATGTCACCCTTCAGAAAATGGCCGTGCATTTAAAGTGAGATCAGTCAGCACAATTGTGCATTTTTCTCTCACCACATTAAGCTCCTAGAAACAGATCTGGGGTAGCCAAAATGCTGGATTTAATCAGGACTGGAGCTTTGTCAGGCAATGCGGGAGAGAAAGAGATAAGCAAATTGATAGATGCACAGAAATAATTTTAGTGATGGACCATAAATCTAAGCTGAATGAAGAAAGACATGTAGACAGCAAAGAGGTGACATCAGTTTAAATTAATTTGTTTAATGCCAACAGTAAATCAGAAATCCAGATTTGGTCCAAGATGGGATGTGTGTATTCTAGAAAGATGAGAAGTGGTGATCAGATTTACAAAGTGATACCATTATTGGTTACAACAAGGGTGAAAAAAAGATTTTTAAAGGCAAAAGGCCCAAGGGACTGAGAGGCAAGGTTACATGTGTTACGAACTGATCAGAGAAGACAATTTAGGTGATACAAACCTTAACACTTCATGAATTGGATGGTCGTCCTGGGGAGAGCAGCAAAATGGGCAGAAGGCAGGGAGCTCTTATAGGATGAAGAATAAAGAAGGAAGAAGAGAAAAATAGAAACTGTCTGATTGGTTGGGGCCACACAGTCAGTCTTGTTTGGGGTAAGAAGGAACCAGGACGTGAAGTATAGAGTTCAGGGTTGGCTTGGCGTTTGGGGATTAGCTGATGGGACACACCGAGTCTCT